AAAATTGCTAACTATTCTACACAAACTTAGAGAAACTCATAGAGAAGATCTGTTATGCTCACAATACATTCAATTAGAAAAAATAAAAATAATAAATAATAAACTTATAATAATATGTCCATAACAAATTACAATTTTCTTTGTAATTTTATACTGAATTACAAACTTACAATTTTCTTTGTGATTTTTACTGAACTACAAACTTATAATTTTCTCTGTGATTCTATCTGCATTATAAACTTATAATAATATGTCCATATGAACTTATAATTTTCTCTGTAATTTTTGTTGGATTATAATAGAAAACTTACAATTTTCTCTAGACTATACCAACAAAAGTGCAAAAAAAATAGAGAACAAAACTTAGAAAACAAAAAATGATAAGAAATTTACACTTATCTCTGGTTTAAAGAAATTTCTCTAGTTTGAAAAAATAGAGAACAAAACTTATCATTGATAAGCATGTTGATGAAAAACAAAGCACGAAAAATGAACTCTAAAAATCAAAATCAAAATTAACTCCACTGTCAACTCTTTTGAAATTAATCAAAAAACAGAGAATGAAAAATGAACTCCAAAAATCAAAAGCAACTCTATCAAGCTGGCCTCTCTTTAAAATTGATCAAAATAGAGAATGAAAAATCAACTCCAAAAATCATAAACAACTTCATTGAGTTAGCCTCTCTTTTAAATTGATCAAAACTGAAAACAAAAACCTAATGCAAAATACACTCGAAAAACTAATATGAAATCGGAATCATTACATATTCAAAACAAAAATCGAAATCAATATGGAATCTCCATCGAAAACCTACCTAATTCAACTCAACTGAAAAACCTACACGATCAACACCACTATAACACCTACACAATCATAACAATCTCATCGTCAAGTCCACTGTAACACTTGTAAAATCCCTACGAAATCTCCACCATGAAGTTCATCCCCATGAATCTTCTACCAAACAGTAATAGAATATTTAGTTTATCAAAATCCAAACAAACGTATGTTATAAATAAGGGTAAATTAGGTATTTTACAACGTAAAATAAGGTTGAGGGACCTTAGGCATCAAAAAATATTATTATGGACCTCTCCTCTTATCAAAAGTTAGGCAGAGATCTTAGACTAATTTTTCCAAGTAAAAAAATAGTCAAACATAGCACGTGCCCGTTTGTTTTCAGAAGTAGAATAGAGGAGATTCGTATAAGGGGATTGTTAGTGAGGGGATTAGTAAAATTGTGTTTGTTTTGGTGATAATTATTGATGTAGAAATTGCTAAATATTTTCATATAAAATAATATAAGTAATAAAAAAATACAAAAACATTAAACATTAATGTTCAAAAAAAAAAAAGGTCCAATATGAAAAAAATAAAAAATAAAATAATAATAATAAAACAAATAAAATTATGATTTTTACTTAACAAAAAATATAAAAAAAATTAAATATTAATGTTTTAAAAAAGGTCAAGGATGTAAAAAATAAAAAATTATATAAAAAAATAATCTGACAGACTATTTTCTAATTCCAAGTCTCAAGCCTCTATCCTAATTTCTTCTCCAATGCCCATTATAATCCGAAGAGAATTATAAATCTCTTATCTATTTTTCAAAATAAGACCTATTAAACAATAAATCTAATTATTAGAACCTACGTATAAATACCCTGATACTATTGAATCGTACTTCCGTCTCAATCTCAGTCCCTATTCATTATCCTCTCAAAACAAACAGCCGCATGGTTAGAGTGTATTTTATCAAAATGTGCTCAAAAAAAAAAAGCAAACGACGTCGTCAGAGTCAGTTTGTGTCCGTCCATGCCAAACCCTCCAATCCAACGCGGTCGACTCTCTCTGAGTGAGGAGAATCGTCTCTGATCTGCTGAAAATGGAGGAAGCATCAATGGAGAGACTCATCAGAATTGGCAGAAGAAGAAGCCATGGTTTTGGAGCTGGGCATTCGCTTCATTCTCTTCAGACTCATCCTCATCTACTTCCCCAAAACCTCTACTTGTCCTCTCGTCCCGAAGTCTCCACTCCTCTCACCTCCCTCCGCCGCCGTACTCTCACTCTCTCTCTCTCTCTCTCGATATATATATATATATATAATTGTATGAATAATTGAGTATTTACTACATTTGCATATTTCGATTTTGCAGTGGCTGAAGGTTACTGGTTGAAACAGTCCTCGATGTCTCCCTATGCAGGTTTTTTCACTATCATGATTGATAATGCTGATTACTGATTTATTTACATATTAAGCTTAATTTGATACTATTGTTTTTTGGTTCTATAGTTCAATGTATCATGGATCTCCTATTTTACTCTAATCCTTGTCCTCTCACTGTTAAAAGGTACCATTTAATTCAGGCAATCCATGCTTCAAAGACAGCCTTAGGCTTCAATTCATGTAGTATAATTACTTACATGTATGTTTGTATATGTATAAGCACCTATGTTATGGTTACTTACTTACTGTATCATTTTGTTGGGAACAGAATTGACGGCCAGCCAAATCAACTTATTTGCAGGTAATATATTTTATTAATTTCTCTTAATTAGTATAGTTTTTTTTTTTGTTTGTTTTCTCTTGATAATTCTATCTGATTTTCATTTTGTTGCTGGTGTTTTTTTGATACATAAATATAAATCTGGTTTTGTTGTTGTTGTTGTTGTTGTTCGTGTTAGCATTTAAAATTTTATTTGTCCGCGGTACAATAAGAATCAACAGGGGCACAACCAACCAGATGTTACGAGTTGCCAGTAGTCATGCCGCCTTCTTTTTTTTTCTCTGTTTATTCCTTACAGTGCTTTGTTCAATTCATGGGGACAAATTCTATTAACGTTGCTAACACAAGTTGCAATATAGAGATAGGCTGTGGTTTATATCAGTGGCAATACCATTTCTAGGTGGATTCTCTAGTTTGAAAGCAAACTAATAGTAGTGGTTCAAGCAATAGAGAGGCATCAAATTTTTGGCAAAAAATCATTTTATTGTAGATTAAGGAGTTAGAAGGCGAAAAAGCTGAAAGAAACTCCTCACCTATGCACATTTCCTAAATTACGTCCTGAGACGCTAGTGTTGTTAATTTTATTTGTATCGATCACTGATTAATGTGTAACTATTATAATTATTATTAGCGAACAATGGAAAAGAAGTTGGATATTAATTTGCATTCCTGAACGATTGTTACTTCTTTAGTTACACAGTATTTATTTGTTTTTATTTTTCTTCTTCCTGATAAGCAACTTCTTTAGTTACACAGTTAATATCAAACACATTCTTGATACAGTTTGGTTTTTGTCATTGCAATTTTGTCACTGCAATGCTTATTCGTTCAACTGGCCTGAATCTTCAAAAAGCATATTCTCAAAGATTGAAATCACTAGGCCTTGTTGGACTGTTGGAAAATTCAGGTGAGTGTAAAATATTTGTTTGATCGTGAAAAATGTCCAATAAATAATTGTTGTTGGATTCCATTTTTTCCCCATGTTTATTCCTGTTAGGGAAAATCGATGATTTCCTACAAGTAAATAATCAATGGGAATAAAAACTAATGCGGGAAAATTAAATAAAAAACAACACAAGAATTTTTACGTGGTTCCTTCAATGTGAGGTACGTTCCGATTTCACTATCACCACAAAGTTTTCAAACGATTACAAACGAGACACCAATGGTCTCACAAACCACCCTTAGGTGAATTCCAAATAATCACAAATAAACAAGAGGAAAGACCTCACCAAATAGATAAACCAAAATCTTCAGAAACCAAAGTTGTAGAAGACCCAAAATAATACTCTAAATCAACCCACACAAAGCAGCCGAATATTCACACCAACAGTAGCCGAAAATCAAGAATTGATTACCCAAATTTCACCTAAGCACTATCTCACCAATCCATTGATCAAAAAGTGCGGCTGCTGCTTCACTCAACTTCGGGAAAAACAAATATATAATTAGGCCACTGTTAACTCTCTCCGAAAACAAAGCCATATATATATATATAGTTGGGTCTTGAGTTTGTTTTATCAAACTCTAATTGTATCCAAATTGAATTGGGTCTCTAAATTAGATATAATATATTAAAATATATTATACCCAAACCAAAATAAATTAAAATTCTTTTTCCAAAACCAATTGGGTCTCAAACTCCAATAAGGGGATATACCTCAACAATTCTCCCCCTGCCGATTTAGGTGGAGACATCAACCATACCCGCCAAAGTTCGACATTTCAAATGTTTGTCTCTCGACAAAGTCTTAGCAATATATCCGAAATATTATCATCCGTGTGAACCTTTTCGAGTTGCAACAATTTCGAATCTAACATATCACGAATCCAATGGTATCTCACATCAATGTGTTTCAATCTCGAATGAAAAGTAGAATTTTTACTCAAGTGAATAGCACTTTGACTATCACAATAAAGCACATACTTTTCTTTCTTCAAACCCAACTCTTGCAAAAATTTCTTCAACCATAACTCTTCTTTGCAAGCTTCTGTAATGGCAATAATTCAGCTTCGGTAGTTGAGAGAGCAACACATTTTTGTAATTTAGATTGCCATGCCACAGCTCCCCTGCAAAAGTCATCAAATACCCCGAAGTAGATTTTCCTAGAATCAATATCACCGGCCATGTCAGAATCTGTGAACCCATCAAGCATCGGCTTACCATCCCCAAAACACAAACACACTTTGAAGTCCCTTGAAGATATCCTAGAATCCATTTTACCGCTGCCCAATGTTCTTACCCGGTTAGAGAGAAATCGACTCACCACACCAACGCGCGTGAGCAATATCCGGCCTTGTACAAACCATGGCGTACATCAAAGAACCAACTGTTGAAGCATAAGGAATTTTCAACATCTCTTCTTTGTCTTTCTCACTTGTAGGACATTGATTCGAACTAAGTTTGAAGTGATCTGCAAGTGGACAACCAACCGGTTTTGCTTTTTCATGTTGAACCTCTCAAGAACTTTCTTAATGTAGCTTTCTTGAGACAACCAAATCAGCCCTCTTTGCGATCACGAACAATTTTCAGACCAAGTATTTGCTTTGCCGGTCCCAAATCTTTCATAGCAAAAGACTTGCTCAACTCTAATTTCAACCTGTTAATCATGGTAGAATCTTGACCACAAATTAACATGTCATCAACATAAAGCAAAAGAATAATAAATTTGCCATCCGGAAAATTTTTCACAAACACACAATGGTCCGAAGTGGTTTTAGAAAAACCATTATCCATCATGAAAGAGTCAAATTTTTTGTACCATTGTCGCGGGCTTGCTTGAGACCATACAAACTTTTCTTTAATTTGCAAACAAATTTCTCTTTCCCCTTTTTCAACAAAACCTTTTGTTGCTCCATGTAAATTTCTTCTTCAAGATCACCATGAAGAAATGCGGTCTTCACATCAAGTTGCTCAACTTCAAGGTTCATACTTGCAGTCATGCCAAGTACAACCCGAATAGAAGACATCTTTACAACCGGTGAGAAAATCTCGTCAAAGTCAATACCTTTCTTTTGCCCAAAGCCTTTCACAACAAGACGTGCCTTGTACCTCAGATTCTTGATATCATTCTTCAATTTGAAAACCCACTTATTTTTCAGATTTTCCTCCCTTTAGGCAACTTCACTAAATCATAAGTCTGGTTTTCAAGCAAGGAATTCATCTCCTCGTCCATGGCCTTTTTCCAATCACCTTTCTTTGCATGCTCAATTCCTTCTTGGTAGCTCTCAGACTCCCCTTGATCGGAAATCAACACAAATTTATTGGGAGGATACTTTCTTGAAGGTTGTCGGTCCCTTGTAAATTTCCTCAACTCAAGTTGTGGTGGCGGTTCTTGAGTTGGATGCTCTTCCTCAATTTCTGGCTCAACTTCATTAGGATTAGCATCATCCTCCACATCTTCAATAGGTGGCTGCATATCTCTCCCATCTTCATCAACTGAAAATGAAGGAGATGGATCCATGTCAATGAGATCACCAGTTTTTGGCTTTCCGGTTGATCACCTTTGCCAAAGTCTTCAATTGTTTGTCTTCAAGAAACACAACATCACGGCTTCGAATAACTTTCTTGTCGACCGGATCCCACAATCTATACCCAAATTCATCACGTCCATAGCCAAGAAAAATGCATTGTCTTGACTTACTGTCAAGCTTGGACCTCTCATCCTTTGGAATGAGAACAAAAGCTCGGCAACCAAACACTCTCAAGTGCTCATAAGTCACATCTTTGCCGGTCCAAACTCTTTCTGGAACATCACCATTCAAAGGATAGGAATGAGACAAATTGATCACATCAACCGCTGTCCTCAATGCCCCACCCCAAAAGGATCTTGGCAATTTAGCTTGTGAAAGCAAACACCTTGTTCTTTCCACAATGGTGCGGTTCATCCTCTCGTCAACACCATTTTGTTGAGGAGTCTTCTTAACTGTCTTTTGGTGCCGAATACCTTGGCTGCGACAATACTCATCAAATGACCCAATGTATTCACCACCATTGTCTGATCGGATGCACTTCAATTTCTGCCCTGTTTCTCTTTCAACCATGGCCTGAAAATGCTTAAATACTTCTAGAACTTGATCTTTAATTTTTGGTAGAAAAGTCCAAACTTTCCTTGAATAATCATCAATGAAAGTAACAAAATAAAGTGCACCACTATGTGTTCTAACTTTTAAAGGACCACAAACATCCGAATGAATCAACTCAAAAACATTTTCTTTTCTAGAAGCAATATTTTTATGAAAAGAAACTCTATATTGTTTAGTAGCCAAACAATGAACACAAGTTTTGAGATATGTACCTTTCAAACCGGGTAGAAGCTCTTTCTTGAACAAAATTTACAACCCCTTTTCACTCATGTGGTCAAGCCGCTTGTGCCACAATTCGGTAGAAGTATCATCTTCAAGTGTATTGATAACACCTTTACAAATTTTTCCTTTATGAGTCTTCTTGCACTTAGCCACCACCAAAGAACCCTTTGTGAGCTTCCATATTCCATCACCAAATTTATTGTTGAAGCCTTCATCATCTAGCTTCCCAGTAGAGATCAAATTGAGGCGAATGTTAGGAACATGCCTCACATCTTTAAGCAACAACTTGCAGCCAAAATTTGTTTCCAAGCAAACATCACCCATGCCAATAATCTTGGACAAACCTTCATTACCCATTCAAACAGAACCATAATCTCCTCTGGTGTAGGTAGTGAAGAAATCAACTCGAGAAGTCACATGAAAAGAAGCACCGGAATCAATCACCCAATTGCTCTCTTGGCCCACAAAATTGATACAATCATCTTTACAATCGACCATGAGACCATCGGTAGTAACTGCCGTTGTGTCTTCTTACTTCTTATCCACACTTTTGTCACGCCTTTTCTCTTTGTTCTTGAGCTTTCGGCATTCTCGCTTCATGTGCCCTTTCTCATGGCAATAATAGCACTCAATGTCTTTCTTTGAAAAAGAACTATCTTTTGATTTGTCACGGCTTTGATCACAACCATGAGGAGTCTTACTCCTCCCCCTTGTTTTGCTTCGGCCTCTCACAACGAATGCTTCCGAATGAGAGGAACCCGCTGATTTTCTTCTAGTTTCTTCATTCAACAGGCTACTAGTAACTTGACCCATTGTGACAACTCCACCGGGTGCCGAATTGCTAACTGTCACAACCAAAGTTTCCCAACTTTCGGGCAAAGAACTAAGTAGCATCAAAGCCTGCAACTCATTATCAAAAATAATTTTCATAGAAGCAAGTTGGTTAACAATACTTTTTATTTCATTCAAATTTTTTGGAATGGGGCTGCCATTTTTTATTTTAAATTAACCAACTTACGAAATAGAAAGACTTTATTTATGGCTGATTTTTTATCATAAAGACTCTAATTTTTTTCATAAATCATGTGCCGAAGTTTTAGTAGCAACATGATGAAATACATTGTCATCGATCCATTGACGGATAACACCAACGGCTTTTCGATTAAGCCTATTCCATTCATCATCTTTCATATCCTCGGGTTTGCCAGAATCACCCTCAATGGGTCCATATAAATCTTTACAAAATAATAGGTCCTCCATTTTAGTTTTCCAAGTCACCCAATTGCTTCCATTGAAGCTAGACATACGACCCACATTCCCCTCCATTGATTTATACAAATAAATAAACTCAAATAAACCTAAGCTTTGATACCAGTTGTTAGGGAAAATCAATTATTCCCCACAAGTAAATTAATCAATGGGAATAAAAACTAATGCGGAAAAATTAAATCAAAAGCAACACAAGAATTTTTACGTGGTTCCCTCAATGTGAGGTACGTCCACGGGATCGAAATATGATTCCACTATCAACCACAAAGTTTTCAAACGATTACAAACGAGACACCAATGGTCTCACAAAACCACCCTTAGGTGAATTCCAAATAATCACAAATAAACAAGAGGAAAGATCTCACCAAATAGATAAACCAAAATCTTTAGAAACCAAAGTTGTAGAAGACCCAAAATAATACTCCAAATCAATCCACACAAAGCAGCCGAATACTCACACCAACAGTAGCCGAAAATCAAGAATTGATTCCACCAAATTTCACCAAAGCACTATCTCACCAATCCATTGATCAAAAAGTGCTGCCGCTGCTTCACTCAATTTCGGGAAAAACAAATATATAATTAGGCCACTGTGAACTCTCTCCGAAAACAAAGCCATATATATATATAGTTGGGTCTTGAGTTTGTTTTATCAAACTCTAATTGTATCCAAATTGAATTGGGTCTCTAAATTAGATATAATATATTAAAATATATTATACTCAAACCAAAACAAATTAAAATTAAAATTCTTTTTCCAAAACCAATTGGGTCTCAAACTCCAATAAGGAGATATACCCCAACAATTCCCTTATAAGCTGATGAATTACACTCTCCAAACTTTTTGCAGAGATTCTTTCATCTGGGGATATCGCTGCTCTGGTGTACTTATGGAATCCTTTTACCATAGTCAGCTGTGTGGGTTTGTCTACTTCTCCAATTGAAAATTTGGTCATCATACTGTCACTTTACGGAGCTTGTACACGTAAGAAACTGTAATTCTTTCTTTGCATAGTTCATGACTATTTTAATGCTTTTATGGGTCCTTTGAATTATTAAGTGAATTTTTCCCATCTTTAGTTGAATTTATCAACTCTTTAGTATAATTATTTGTGTCTTATTTTTTGTGTTCCAGTTTCAGATTCATTTGCATTGCTTGAAAACATTTCAAATCTGTTTTCTTTTTATGTTGTTGTTCAAAAGATTATTTGTTAGTCTTCTTAAGTAGGATTACAAGGATGACATAATGTGCATCCATTTTAAATTGAGATGACAATTATTCTTTAATCCTTTCTCCCTTTTTTGTGGTGACATGCAACTATGCAAGTCCTAGGTGTTTTGTACTCATACCAGTTTTTATTACATAAAAAACTCCAGTTAGGAAATGAACACCTAGGTAATAATTATCATCATTTCTGTCCTTTCATTATTTTATATCTTGTCTTTTGAAATAAACTGTGATTTTGATGGTTGTTTATAGCTTACTTATCATATGCTAATAAAACTTGTCATTACATTTATGAAATTAGCTGAGAAGAAGATTTTAATGACAAATTTAGAGCTTTGTGGTTAACAGTTAACATATAGTGGTCGTAAAAAAGGAAATCTTCATTACACGAAATGAAATTAATAATGTTGATATTGTGATTTTGCATTATGTAACAGGCATTAATTTCCCAATCTTGGGGCTTCTTTCCATACTAGCCATGTTACTTAATTAATATTACTGGCAATTGAATTTTCTGTTGGGAAGGCTTATTTAATTGAGTAGTTATTGATTTTTTTGCATATAACATTGTTAAAATCCACCTACTCTCCACCTACTTCACCCACTTAAACCTACTCCACTAAACCTAACCCACTACACCACTACCACCTCACCTACTCCACTAAACCTAACCCACTACACCACTACCACCTCCACTTCACCTACTCCTTACCTACTACACACTCACCCTCTTCTATATATAGGAATCATGAATCATTGTAATATATATCAATAATATAACAATTACAAACATCAATCAATAATACAATTCTCTTTTTCTCTTTATACATTAAATTTCTACAAACATGTATCGGGCCATTTAGTGTCTTACTTCTGTTGGAGTGCAGGACAAATTCCATTGGCAGCTTTTGGGTGGGTCATAGCAACACATTTGTCCCTTTATCCTGCTATTCTGATTGTACCGGTATGCTTTCCCTTCATCTGGTGTTTGTTGGGAACAATAGGTTCTTCATACAGAATACAGACTGAAATAACCAGTGAAATCTCCTACTAATTTTTCTTTCATTCATGTGCATCAACCTCTTATGATTTGTTAAATTTGGTTCATTCTTTTCCAGGTGATTCTTTTATTAGGTTATGGTCCAGATGCTCCCCCAAGGAAATTGTTACTGCAAAGGAACTCCTGTGAACTGACAGGTCAACAGAAGGAACTGAAAAATCAACCAGTGCAACTAATTTGTTTCTCTTGGAAACCAGTTGTGTGTTTCTTCTTGTGGGCATCCATGTGGGCATTCTACGTGTTAGTTCTATGTGGCATTTCTGTTAAACAATATGGTGGTCTTCGGGAGATGTTTAAGAGGTAGCAATATGAAATATAGTCTCTTACCAAATATATATATATATATATATGAAATCTAGTATATCTTATTTTGAAGTCTAATGATTTTCAGTTTGATTTGTTGGGACATCCTCCAAGCATTGATGATGACTTTCTTTATCTATTTTGTACCTTTGAAGGGCTTGTAACCTTTTTGTAAATGGAAATTAATCCTTCCCTTCCATCTATTACCAACTTAGATGGACTGTGTCTGTAATCATGAATTAATCCAACAACAGACACTGCTGATGTGTATTTAACGCAATTCACAGTGCTTTCTGAGATGCAATGCATGCCCTTTTTCCTGAATCAGTTCAACATGCTATTTATGTGTAATCTATGTTAATCCACTTGCACAAACAGTTGGAATGGAACCCCTTCTTTTTGTATTTTATGTGTGAGATACTTGCAAATTAAGTATCAATATAATTGAAACAAAATTACTTTGATTTTACACGATGTTGATTCTCTATGGACTATCCTGGACTGGACAGATGGTTTTATGATGATTTCTCCTATTTTTCTTAGTCATGAAGATGGCTTAATATAGATATTGGTAATGATTATTGTTTTTAAGTGTTATTGATTGTTCATGTGCATGGATAAATTCTACAGAACTTATGGGTTTATTCTCACAGTGGAAGACTTGTCTCCGAATATAGGCGTCTTGTGGTGAGTGCAAAGACATCTGTGTTGTTTGCTGTTTTTATGAAATGATTTAGTCCAACATTTAAGGTCTCACATCTATGATCTCTTTGTTTACTCGAATGCAGGTACTTCTTTGCGGAAGTGTTTGATTTTTTCAGAAATTTCTTTCTGATGGTTTTCCATTTAAATATTCTATTCATGATATTGCCATTAGCCATACGGCTAAACCACCGGCCTTGCTTTCTGGCTTTTGTGTACATTGCAATCTCATCAATGCTTAAATCTTACCCTTCAGTAAGTTTCATCTTTTCCTTGAAGTCCTATTTTCACCTGGATTGGAGTTCTTTGTGTGATTAACCAAAAAGTAAAGCAAATTGCTCTTTCATTTCCAGCATTAACAAGTTTCTCATTTTTTGATTTAGTTTTGAATTCTATGGCTGTTACTGTGCTGTCTTTTCCCTATAAATAAGGAGGTTATTGGTAGGAGACTATTGGACTGTAATCTTTCCGAGGGCTTGATAAGACCTCTAAAAAATTTTGAAAGCCGGTCTTCTTGACTGCTTAATTATCTTGGAGCTGCTAGCCACCTAATGAGATAATGCAACTTGAATCTTCCTAATAATGTTATGAAATTTGAGATTTGCTAATTTGGCAAGTACTTTTTTTCTATCCGATGTCCTTTAGAACAAGTGAAAACAACAATTTGGCTTCTGAACCCTTGACTTTTATTGAAATCATAAATGCATTTATTGTGACTCAATTTCTTTGCTTTATATTTTTGACTGGTTCAAAATGGATCAGGTTGGAGACTCGGCTCTGTACTTGGGTTTGTTGGGTTTGTTTATCAATGAACTAGCAGGTAAGTTAGTACGGCCAGGTTTGTTTCTGCTGGGTTTTAATGGATCAACATCTTAGGATTTCTACCTACAATGCCATGCAGATATGAGGTTCTCTTTCTTCCTCTTCTGTGGATACATTGGGGTTTCTCTCCTTAGCCCTGTGATGCACAACCTATGGATATGGAGGGTATGTTTTTGCCTGAGATTCACACGCATGGCCACCGAAGTAGAAGTAACTTATTTGGATCATTGATTTATTGAATCATTTACAGGGCACTGGCAATGCGAACTTTTACTTTGCAACTGCCATGGCTTATGCTTGCTTGCAGGTTTGTTTAAACTCTTTTCTGAAACTCTCTCTCTCTCTCTGTCTCTCTCTCTCTCTCTCAATTTTTAGTAAAATAGAACATGCTTTATTGGATGAGCGCAAACCTGCATATAGGTGGAGCACGTAAGAAGAAAGTTTGCCTTTTCTCACATGTTATTTTTGGAGCACACTCACATAATGATAATTCTCATGCATTTATTAGCTCAAAACTATGAACAAAATCTCGTGCTTGCGCAATCGCACACTACTGTGAATAATTCATTCTCTCTCTCTGTTTTGTTTGCTGTGCAGATTATTTTGGTGGTGGAGAGCGTGGGTGCAATGCTCAACCATGACAGGAAGATAAAAAAGCTGTCTACCACGAACGCTTGAGATTGTGGATCTAACAAGAATATCATCATCTGCAACAAAGGACCTTTTTGCCAGAAATTTTCAGATAATTCACTCCTCTTGCTTCAATGGAGATGTCCAAAAGATTTTATTTTGTTTTATTTTATTTTGATTTTAGTTTTTATAGCAGTCCCTTGAAACATGGTCCCCCATCACCTTTTGTATGTGTTTTTAATATTAAAAAAAAAATACAGAGAACTATTTAGCTTTGATAGATCAATTTTTTTGTGTCCTGTTCACTATACGTGTCCACTGTACTTGCAGAAAATAGAACCATTTTCAATTTTCTTTCACTATTTTCATATTGGAATAGAGAAGTAAACACCATTTTGTCATCCAGAGTGTGAAGTGATGGTATGAGATGTCCGTTCTTTCACCAATCTAGTTTTAAATTTTTTTAGAAAACATTTTGAAAATTAAATCAATTCATGTTTAGCAAAACCAAAAAAAAAAAAATTACAGGAAAGAAAAAAAAAAAAAAACCCAAACCCAGCTTCAAAAACTACATTTTGAGCTTCAAAAAAAAAAAAGCTAAAGTGGAAATTCCAAAACCAACTCGGTTTGATTTTGTTTTTAGAATCCATTTTCTAAACTAAATAACTAAATACTAGTTTGGTCAAAAAAATGAAAAACTCCCAAGACATATGCTCTGTTTGGTTTCATTATCAAAATGTTTTTTAATAAAACAATTTTTTTAAAAAAAATAGTTTGATATAACAAAATATAAATAAATAAATAATAGGATCGTCCGAAAGAAGAGAAATTTTTTTAAAAAAATTGTATGGGCTGGATTTTAAATTTGAAACTAAATAATTTGTAAATATGTTTTGCCAAAACGGGGGGTTAGTGACTCATGGAAGCCCAACCTATGGGCTAGGTTTGAAGCTAAAAAGAAGTTGGGCCTTCGAGCTCTACTACACCCAAAAAAGTGTAGAGTTTTTTTGGGTTAGTGCCCTAAACCTGGCCTGTTCTCTGGCCCAGACCAAAGCATGCTAATATACATCAGGCCATTAAATGTAGAGAATCATGTGCAGTTTCAGTACAACTAAAACAAACGATAAAAGCACAGCAGTGACTGTGGTGCCTCCGTTTGAGGTGTTTGAGGTGTATTATGGTCTTATTTTTATGATCTAAACTGTTTATTTTGTAGGATTTGTTGAGTAATTCATGCCTACAAAAAATTATATTAATCGAATATCAACAACTATATGATTGATAACCAAAAAAATAAATAATAAATTTTTCTTTTGAAAAATAGCATAAATAATATACAATTCGATCATATAGTTATTAATATCCGATTAATATGATTTTTGGTAGGCATGAAATACTCAACAAACCTTACAATATAAACAATTTAAATCATAAAAATAAGAACATAATATACTTTAAATAAAAGCGCCACAGTCACTATTGTATTTTGACCACAGCACGGACCCTCTTCCTGTATTCTAGTATGCATGAAGTTATGGACATGTTTTGTTTCAAGGCGCGCTCGCTCGCTCTTTCTCTCTCTCATCGTTCTTTTATTTTATTTTTATATTTGCATGTTGCATCACCAAGTTACTAGGTTCATGGTTCCTAGGCCATTTTTATGATAGCCCTATGTCATGGATGACCACATCTCAAAACTACTTTGTTGGTGTATTACGTTAAGATCAAGTTTGGCATCTACTAAATAATACAAAAAGTTAAAAAGTTATTATCTCATTTAAGTCATATCATCTTATTTAAATCACATCACCTCTCTAACACATCATATCAAACCCAACCCAAATCCAACCCATATAAGCCAACAAGTCAAAAAGTACACTTTTTTAGAACATTCCAAACCAACCCTAACTCTGAATTTGTTTCCTCGTGATGAAAAAAAAACAAGCTTCCCTCCGCTCTGAAATTAGATTTGAGTATCTTGTTAAGTTCGTGAAGGTTTACTACGGATTTTATTTCGATAATCCGAACCGTTCAATATATAGAACTTGTCGAGTACTTTATTCTTACAAAAAATCACGTTGATCAAATAACAATAGCTATTTGATCGGATCAAATTTTTGTCAATGGTAAATATAATTTTTAAAATAAATTATTAGTAAAAATCTGAACCGATCAAGTAGTTATAGATATCTGATCAACATGATTTTTTTGCAGGAACAAAATACTTGATGAGTTCTACATATTGAATGGTTCGAATTATCAAAATAAGATCCGTGGTGAGCCTCATGAACCCAATAATACTGTCCAATCCATAAAGTGGACTGAAAACAAGCCTATTTCAAAAATATATATATATATATATAGAACTAGTGGTTAATGTTATGCCAAGCAATTTGGGTGCAAGAAAAAAAAAAAAACCAAGCAAAGAAATATATATATATTTATATATCTTAAGAGCTAGTTATTACAGACTTGGCGCTTGTTATCCTCTCGAGAAGCCAACTCTAATGCGTACCCCATGCATTATGCCCAAGAATCAACCCAGGTGATGCGATAGGGATCTACCTTGCCTGTTTTGCCGCACACAAACGAATGCGCTTGCAAGGTGTTTAGTGTAGAACTTGCATCTTCGATGAGTCGGTACGTGACATGCTACTACCGCCAATCCTTGATGCCTTCATCAGGGGGGACATTACCTTACTTGCCTTCATGTTTGTTTGTTCCCTACCCATGGGAACCCGCCTTGCATGGACACCACCCTTGGTGCCGACCCCATAATAAAGGTGCTTGGTGTAAGTTTCACGTACCATCCCCATTACAATGCCCCCTAAGCTGGCTCTGATACCACTTATCACAGATTGGGGGTTTGTCATCCTCCTGAAAAGCCGACTCTACGAATGGTACTGCGTACCCTGTACATTATGCCTAAGGACCAACTCAGGTGATGCGATAAAGATCTACCGCCTGCCTTGCCGCTCACAAATGAATGCACTTGCAAGTTGCTTGGTGTGAAACTTGCATTTCTAATGAGTCGGTACATGACATAGTGCTGATAATCGCTTGAAAACTCAATACGCGGAAAAATTATCTAGTAAATAATAAGGGGATACATGATCATGTATCTCTCTATTATTGAAGGACACATCACACATGTTATATAAATCTGATCTATTAAATAATTTTTTTTAAAAATATTATTTTTAAAGAAATGGCTTCTCTCCAATTTGATTCAAAATTCAGTCAATTTTGTGAGTGAAGTTGTAAGTTCAACAGCAGCTATAAAACTTCTCTTATAGAATTTGAATTGAAAATTTTAGGCTCTTTTTTTTGACTTTTAGACAACTTCTCTTTCTAATATTTTGACTTGTTCAGTTAAAAAATAACCTTTTTATCTGCTTTCTAAACATCACATGAGTCTAAATAGAAGCTAATCTGATTTTTCAAACTAACCTTGGGAGGAGTTCTATTATTTTGCTTTCTTGTGAAGTTAATATACAAAACACATATGCCAAGTAGTGAACAAAGAAAAGTTATTATTGTCAAAGTTATGGAGTTGGACTTGTGACTAAGTTGACCTCACACTCACAAGTGTATCGGTAGGTTTTTTTTGACCGAAGTTTAAATCCTAAGTAGTACACAAGCAAATTGGTTTTGACCTCTATGCATGTGTTGGTGCTGGTGCTACTCTTCTCTTAAAATGGACAATTGACCATGTGTAACATAGCTTGCTTGCAAAATATAAAAATAATCCACGTTAGTCTTGAGAATACACCATTTTGTCATTGATTTTAGTGTGAATCAATACTTGCACGAACCATGACTCATCCAAACAAGTCATTATATTCCATCCTCAAACAAATATATGCTTATTTGTTCCAATATACTTTTAATCACAATTGTATCTTGAGATTTTTACTATATCAATCAATCGAAAATATATTGATAACCGGGAGACATAAATTTTAGAGCGAGAAGATCTCTCAACCACTCATTTTGCACATCTGTCCTCTATCTCAACTTAACAAAGTCTTTCCAATAGAATTTTAATTTGTTTTGCATATGGTATTTATTTAATTTTTTTGTTGTGGTACAAATGGGTCGCACCTGATAGTGATAATAATATATAAGAAAACTACAAATTGTAGTTAAAAAAAACTACAATATACCAACACTGTTAGGTAGCCTCCTTAGATACAACTGTACACCACCTAGTTTACACTAATCATAACACAATAAGTTAGCAATAGCATTTTAAAGTTTACAATATTCAAACACTCTTCAATAATTAGAAGTTCAATTTCTCTATCATGATTTTCCTGCAATAACATTACTGTATTTTTTATCGCAATAAGATGCATCAAACAAAATATATAATTAAACGGTTCGAGTTAAAACTTGAATAAAATGACATTTAAATCACACACTAAAACTAGGGTGAGCAGCGGATATACCGATCCGCCAAAACCGACCGAACCGAACCGATCCGCCGCATTTTGGACGAATGCGTGATGACGAGCGGACGGTTGCGGATTGATTTTTTCAAATCCGCCAATTTGGCGGATGGATGGTGGATTTGAGATTTTTTGGCCGCAACCAAACCGCCAAACTGCCAAATCGCGAACATCCCTAGTAATTTATAAGACTTTGTATTTTTAATTTGTTTAAATATTATGTTTGTGTTTTCAATTGAAAAAGAGTTTAAATATTCTGTTGAAAAAAAGTTTTCAACTTGAATATATTTTTTGAATTGAAAAAAATAAACGTATTATTCATATATATTTTTTAGTTTTTAAATGTAACTCTAAAAATAATAAATAGAAAATATGATATATACTGGTTGGTTTTTGTTTTCAAAAACATATGTAGATGTAACAATACAGAGACATTCAATCTCTACTACTGCTCTGTTCATGGTTTTGGTGGTTTGAATTGTTATTATATTTTAAGAATCACAGATTGTAATACTTTATGGGGATGAATCATGCTGTGATTGTAATATGTAGATGAGACATGCAGTAATTGTGATATTCTAAAGTTTCAAATTTTTTTTCTTTGGATAAGGCATACAGTGATTGTAATACTTTTTTAAGTCATTAACTGTAATACTTTCTTTTTCTTTTTTTTCTTTTTTTTGTTTGAGGAAGTGCACAAGTTGAATTATGTTGAAAATTTATAAAATTTTAAACCGCCAAACCGATTCGCATCCATCCGCCAAACTGCTCAATCCACATCCGCCGGATTGGCGGACGGATGCGGATTGATTTTCTTCAATCCGCCAATCTAGCGGACGGATGGTGGATTGAAAGTTCCGTGGTCGCAACCGACCCGCGCCCACCCCTATCTAAAACAACGTAATTTTGCTTTAATTTTGAACAAAGGCTATTGAACTATAACACAACAA